GGTTTAGCTAATACGAGATTGTGTTTTTGCAGACGGTTTCCCTTCAAAATGAGTGACTTCTAGAAGGCGGGTTGAGACTTCATCAACCGTGCAGCAGCATTTCCAACTTCTGTATACTCCTAGTCCGTGTCACTTGCAGAAGAAAGGCGTTAGGATTGATCTGTGAGTTCGACCTTTTGTCTCCTCAAACGCCCTTGTCAAGCCGTTTGGCACTTCTTGCATCTATCCGCTTTTCATCGAGACTTCAATTCCCCAACTCTTCTTATACTCACCAAACACCATTCATCCCTCGTTCTCTTCACAAGCTAATCAAAATGGTTTTTTATAAAGATGCCTATCCGAGATTACGGGTACCATCGTGTAACTGATGACCGCTACACTTCCGCAAGACACCAGCAGGCACGAACTACCATCAAAACGACGACGGTTTACACTTAGATACATCAGCACCAAAGTGGCTACTTAAACCAAAAAGAACACACACAGAAGTTTTCGATAATTGCAATCGGTCACAAAGCCTTCAGGACTGGATGGAGAGAATGTTTGCGCACACGTCGACAATTCAAGAAACTTCATCTATCCCGCAACAAGTTCAAAAAACACCTTATCCAACATTGACCTGGAATAACCCGAAATATGCGCCATTACCGCAAAGACAAGATGATGCGACGACTTTCTCCATCCTATTTTCACTGTGGGAGTTACGTGGACGGATTTCGATACCTGTATGTCCACCATCTCAGTCTTGGGTTAAAATGACCTGTGCTGATGAGTTCTCAGATACGACACATTTACTTGCGCAAGCACCAATCATAGTTCCGATGCTACATGTTCCATACAAGATTCAATGCGCCTTTATAACATATCTATCACGATATCTCTGGCATGACTAGATCCATATTCCCGGATCTCAACATCAAATTGCTGTTATCTCATAGCTTTTAATACCGTTACGGACTCTATCAGTTCTATACAATGCGTTTAGCTTCCAATGAATTTCCTCAGGCTGTCTTCAAAGATTTTGTCGGTATGCCTATTCCCAGAATCATCCAAGAGACAATCCATACCAGTTCCAGACGAAGCAGAAGCATCTCCAAGGTTGATTCAAGGAGTGAGAAAATAGTTGGATCTGGCAAAGGCAACATTGAACTCTCTTCTGAATTGCGTGCTCGGAAATTGCTGTGGCAATACATATTCTCCACTTCTACCTCAAAAAATGTATGATCTCTAAACAGAAACTCGTCATAGAAGCTAGGTTGATGAGTTTATTGAGGACTTATGAAGCCATTTGCGTGAGAGCTAATAAGATTCCAACATTCGAACTATGCGATGGAATACATAAGGTTGCTCAAGAGGCCTGATACACAGCACATATTCTATTGCGCTCGTTGGCAACACAGTCTCATCCCAATGCACTCATTTTCTTACGAGAGTGAATGATCTTCGCTTCTGTATTCGCTGCCCACAGCCTCAAACCTCAAAACAATACCCCAGACGAAAGCTTGGCTGTATATATACACCCAGAATCTATCGTTTTGGAGGATCAAAGATTCTCTCGATCAGCCTCCAACAAATCCTATTGTGTCCCTCCAGCTACAGGCTGAGACCCGTCTTACCACTTCCTCTCCAAAGATTAAAATTGACACACAAACCCTGCAATCGAAGATCCAAGAACTTCGTCGTTCATTCTCCTTTGGTAAAGTTACCAGTATTCACCGTATTACTTGTTGCACATACCTAGCTAATCTCATGGCACAGACCGTACGGCAACGCAGCGCAATTGAAACAATGTTTTTCTAATTTACAGATTCCAATAAGTATGGAGGGATTTCTCGGGGTTCAAATAAGCTGGAACTAGAAATTCGAGTTTACCTTCTCCAAAATACAACAAGAACTGAATTGCAGTAGAAAAAGTCATTTCCTTCGCACCAAATTTCCACATACACTTAAGAGAATTTTGGTTAGTTTCGTAACACAAACGAGCTTTTCTGATGATGGGAATCTCTGAAAATCTAGAATCTAGAGAATGGCATAGCTAGAACTGATGAGTTGTACAGAGATGGTGGTTTTCTACAATTTTTGACGCTGTCGTGTAAGAAATCTACATGGAGGTGGTGTTAGAAATAGCAGTCAAAATTTCAAGCTAATGTTGTCTTCTGTTTCCATCACCGTTCTTTCCAATATATTTCTTGATTATCGTCAGCTGGAGATTCTGTTTTGACGAAACTACCAGACCACTATCAGAGGTTCTAGTAGCTTCCAGTTTTCCTAACTTGTTTTCACTGATTCAACTATCTCACTATTATCATCATCTAGTACTGTGAGCCCAGCATGATTTTCTCCCAAAATCCCCTGGTGAGATAAGATTGAACTAGATTGATATCCAGATCATGTCAAGGATGGGTTTTAAGTAGTAGGTAGTCTGCTGATATTTGGTATGTACACCCTACGCCCCAGATCTAAGAAATCTGAAAGTTGACATTACTTCATTTGAGGTAAATGAATACATGATTATGGGGAAAAAGTGCACGCTTCGACACATAAACAATAGAAACTCTTGTAACTTTAATAACAATTCTTTCAAGAGTTAAACCAAGCCATATTGAGGTGCACTAGCTCAATCTGAAGATGATGAAAACATGGTCGAAATTCTGGTTAATTTCTTCAGCTGGAGGATATAGAAAATGATTCTCCCACCACTCTTCCTTCGTGTAATTGTTCTTGCTATCTAGTTCTTTACTACTGTCATATAGATCACTCACAATTGCATTGTCAAATTGAATATCTCATTATATACATCCTGTTAGTAGTTACACCCTCATCTACTCCGCCTGGGAAAACGTTCCAAGAAACTATTGATTAAATTTCCTGATTCACGCAAGCCAGCACATTTTTCTTGGCTTGGTTCAGCGTGATTCCTTACACAATCGTTCAATAGCAAATTTCCTGCCCCAAAACCTCATAATAAAGATTCCAGATTCAGAGCGAGGAACTAGGGTTAGGGTTTTGATTACTACATTTTCGAAGCTACCTACAATAATGATACATTTTCCAAAACTCTTTGAGCTAGTTTACGGGAAATGCTGGATTACCAAGCGGCGAAAGATGAGGTACTTGGTCAAAGTACTGCGAAGTAGTTTGTCTCCGGCTACCTTATTCTTGTGCATTATCTTCGTCTCGTAAGTTTTGGAATAGCGTTGAAAGGTATGAAATCTAGCGCTAGTGATCTTCAAGTCAAGGGTCTAGGATACACAATACTATAATCATTGTCGTTCTTCCGCTCTCACTGTCGCATATCCACATCCTGTGATTAATATCACTAGATCCCGAGTCCACTGTCCTCTAGAATATTAGGTAGATGTGAGTCTCTTCAACCATTTCCTCTTTTCTGAAGGTGTCACAATGATGCAGAAATGAGTCGCCTTCGTCAATTCTTTCCAGTCGTCGCAGCCGCTCCTATCATTATAAATCTGTGGCTTATATAACAGTGCAGTAGATCTATCCCGAACTCAAAGAACACTTTCATCGAGGGGACAATTCTAGACAGCTATGACTTGAAATATTCTCTAGGCGCAAAGTAGAAAGTTCGCCGACCGGTGCTACTCCTCTTCAATTCACATCCAAGACCAAGTGAATATACGTCGACCCCGCTCTGAATCAACTCAAATCACGTAATCAAACACTTCCATTTCTCAAGTTGATCTTCCTATCTATATAAGCACCCTCTCTACCAAACATATTCACAGCATCAAAAGTCTTGTCGTTTTCACAGCAGTTATGTGGGGGCACGAACTTCCCAGTTTTTAAGATGCAGTGTTCTCCCGCTTTCAAATTTCCAGGTGACATTTCATGGTAATTCTACCAATTTGGCTATTACCACCTCTCATATGAAAAGAAATTTATTAGATTAGACGGTAGCTAAGATGGATAGTCTCAACGACAACAAATTTCAAAACGCAGTAATAACAACAACAACAAAGTCATCTATTCACCCACAATCTTCCCTCCATGAAAGATATGTTTCCAACCCAAATTAAGAACAAATCTTCGTAATCATTAACCTTCAAATTTCACGAAAATACACAAACAGTTCCTAGACATTGTGATGAAAGCTTCCAGGACACTGTGGAGAATTTACAGTTGAGTCCTGAGGTGCTTTCTTAAATACCTCTCCCCTGCTGATTCCCGAGACCAGGAGAAGAGGTTCAGAGCAATGGTTCTTGAGAATGTCAAAAACAGTGAATACATACAACTTCCCCGTGTTACAAACCAAAATCCATGACCAAGCAAAATAAATCCTTTTCAAGTGCATGACCTCCACCATGTAATTCACCACAATCCTACCTACATACCATTCCCCGCACTTACTCACCCCTCCTATCTCTCACATCTTACCTAGGTAGGTATTTAAAGTCTCCCGTCCTACCCATTAGATAGTAAACTCTAAAAATATTACAAGCTATTCTTGACGTCTGTTACAGTAGGCACTTCCCAGATTCTTCGGTCTGCTGAGGTCGGTATTGAGAACTATAGGATGGCCTGTTGCGAGTACTTTCAAGTAGCTGTGCTGGGGTATATACTTCAGTGCAAACTAGGTAGTTACGGTAACTTTCAGATGACAGTCATGGTTGCAAAAAAGGGGATCACATGTAACAATGAAAGTGCAGACGAAGAAGGTTTGACGGTAAAAGCTCATAGATATTTATCATCTAATGTGGATTTACACGATACGTTATCGCTGTCAATCGGCGCCTCTGCCACTACCTTTTCGTTTTTTGATGTTCTAGTCTATGAATCTTGTATTGGACTCCAGTCTACTATCTACCCGCGGAAGTCAGATCACTACTCTATGACCAATGTTATAACATAATAACGCCATCTATGCCATCTTTATCCCACATCACCGTATACCCGATACCAAGCATAATATCATTCATCATACATCATATTTGGAAGGAAAATCATCACCAGTTACTGACACCAACGCCATACCCAGCCAATTATACCCTCTCCTCCTCATTTCCTACTTCCGCCCCCTTCACCACCCTCTCCTTCTCCAAACTCATCTTCCCCAGACCCTTTACCCCCCAAACCCCCACGCTCCCCACCCCACAAACAACCGCCAATCCCACAAACGGCAATCCCAACCAACCCGTCCACTCTCCCCTCCAAACAAGTCCCAATTCATAGAGTCCTGCGACCGCTGGTCCTGCCAAAAGTGCACTACTGGTCTCCACCACTGCTATCATTGCGAATATTCTCGCCACGTGTTTCTGATCTACCAATCCCGTGATTAAAGAACGGACTAGCGAGACGAAACCTGTGCCTAGGGTGTAGATTATTAGACCGATGATTGTGAGGTGAAGACTTGGGGAGATGGCGATGGTGAGGGCACCGAGGATGAGGAAGAGGGAAGAGATACGGGCGAGCAGGAGATCTTTGTGGGTTGATGAGAAGTGGAATTTGGTTATTAGGAGGGAGGAGAGGAAGGGGATGACAATTAGGAGGAGGAGAATGTTGATTAGGGCCCGTAGAGAGAGGATGAGAGAAGCGTGGGATAAGGGGATGGAAAAGCGGGTAGATATGTAGCGTATGCAAAGGTCGATTGATTGTTGACCTATGACGCGGGTCATAGATGGTAGAAGGAGGAGAAGAACAGGTAGAGTAAGCAGAGGTCGGCTAGTGGTGTAGAAATCAGATAGACGGCGGGTGATGGTCGATTTCCGTTTTGGCTTTAAGGGCTCGTTGAAATCGGATGATGAATCGCTTATATATTCCGAAGATGAATCATCTGGGACCAATGTGGAAGTTTGTGTTTGGGAGGCATGAAGATGGAGTGTTTCGGGTACAAAAGTGATGAGACATAATAATCCTGATGTCAAAACAAACACTCCGCAGTATATTGAGATCCATGGAGAATAGACCATAATTGCGGCTGCTACAGTTGGTGCAATAAGTTCTGCAGAGAGTGAAGCACATGCAGCGAAAAGGAAAGCATTTGCTCTGTTATTTGTCAGTGATAAGAACTAAGAATGTGAACTAATTCTAATCAATACCTTTCATCTTGAGTAGTAACATCTGAGATGATAGCATAAAATATTGCGGAAGCGGTCTTTTCACCGCCACCAATGAATTGTAAAAATGGTGCAAACCACACAGCACGAATGGGTAGCATCATCCACTCGCTCATAATGAATACCTCGAATAAGAGGGAGAGGAGAAGACCAAGGATTGACAAAGCAAAAACTGGTTTGCGTCCAATTCTATTTCTATGTCAGATGAATTCTTCTAGAATCATAAGATCACAAATCGAAGAACAAATCAATCGCGAAAAATTGACTGTATAACTTTAGATGTAGAAGAAATTCGTACTTATCGGCCAAAAGTCCATATGGAACAGCCATAAACATTCCTACATATCATCAACACCAGTCTCTAGTTTCTCTTTTACGGAGATTCTCCCTACCTGGTAACGCTTTCAGTGTTTCCAATACCGCAGTCAAAATGTTCAATTCTTCTTGAACCTTATCGCCCTTGCACCTAGCTTCATCAATGGTGCTACTCAGCCCTATCTCACCTCGTCCCTGTAGTTCTTCATAATAACGATGACACAATATATCCTCATATATACGCATCGATGGTATCCAAACCAAATATATTCCAAACCCAATTATAAAAACTATCGTGGTAAGAAGTAAGATAATAATCCGCGGAGAATGCGTTTGATGAATCAAAGAGTGTGTACCAACGGTAGTTGGTCGTGAATGATCTAGAAGAGGAGATTCCTCATCGGTTCCGTCGTGTGAGGATCGTGGTCTTGTTTTCGATAAAGACATTTTCGCAGATGAACTGAAATATTGCGCCGGCGCATAAAACATTCAAAAAGAATAGGAATGACTGAGTAAAGAGAGAAACGGAAGATAAGGAGTGAAAAATATAGTACAAAAGAAATACAAACAGAAATATACTTTACATATTTTCTAACTTTGGGAAACAACAATCAACGTGTTTGCGCAAAGGAATGTCTGATGTCAGAGCGGCACGGCTCGCAGTAACTACGTACTGTCCCTTCAAATAGAAGCAACTGACCTCATTTGTCGCATGCACAGTGAGATGTAATCTTACATCAGATGAATCGTACATAAACAATTCAACGTGTTCACTCCTGATTATATCTAAACGGAATCAAGGTATTGGGGTCGTACAGAATGAGTGGTGAAAAAAGAACTGCTGGGTTCAGAGACTAGAGTGCGTAAAGCGAGAAGATGAAGGGGTTGCGAGTCGTACCTGATGATGACGCGCGTGGTGCATGGCGTAATTCACGCGCTGAGATGCAGGCACGAATTCCATCTTATCATCGCGAGATCAGCAAATGAAAAGTCCCATAGATAAGGGAAAGATGCGGGATCCAGAAACATCAAACAACCATCTTTGAAAATCTCGATATTGTCGAATAAAGAAGAGTGAAACATTGAATATATTCTTTACCAGATGATTCTTCTTCTTTCCAGCACTCCTATCTCTCTATTGCTCCCTGCTGATGCATCTTTATGCCGTACACCGTTACATTTCAAGGATCCAACAATGAAATTGATGTAGTGATCTCGAACTCATCCCAATACTTCGGATACCCACAGCTCCATCGTACGACTTCTCCAAGTCGAAACGGAATTCAGAGTTCAGAATCATTTCGATACTTCTCAATGACACAACGATCTCGAACTCCCAACTTAACAGCTGATACCCATGGTAGCCGACAGACTTCTGTGGCACAATTGAATCTGTTCTAGAGCATCAAACTTGGGAAAACATGGCTTCTCGATACTTCCCAATGACATATGGACCTTCCACTTTCAAGTCCTCATTTTTCACATTTATTGATGTATATTTGTGGCAAAATTGAGTTTACCACAGAGCGTCAAATATAGGAAACTTTGGCTTCTTCAAAGTTCGAACCGAACTCATCATGAATCCTTCTTATGCGCAAAGAGAGAGTTTGTTCTCTTAAGCTTCAATGGCGATTGGATATAGAACGAAGTGGTTGAAGTCTCGAAGCAGCCATTTGTCTTGGGTACATGATATAATCAGCTGTTGATTAAATGATGTTCTAGTGGACATTATTTGAGTACTATGCTTGACAGTCTGAACCTTGATATGCATTTTTATTGTCAACGTAAGGCGTGTAGATGGACTCAAATCAACCAAGGTTACATAATGTTTTTAGCTAAATATGTTTTCCGGGGTTGATCTGCGAACCTTGATCTCACGCACCTTTTTGACATGCATGCTAAATACACCAACCAATAATAAATCGGCTGATACTTTCTTAGAATTCGGGCGACTTAGATGAAGTAAAGTCCTACGTACTTGGAAGTCTATTTCCAAGCGTTCACACTATTGTCTGTGCGGTACCAATGTCTGATCTGGATTGCCCCCAATTGTTCAGTTGTACACCCAGAATTGGAATTATATGATTCTTAGGGAGAAACGAGATCAATTCAAACTTCGATTTCTGGGAATTGATTGTCCATTTTGTTTATGGATGTATGAAGTGGAATCGGCTATCGTGATTGACACAACGCTTACAGATTAGTCGGGTCTAAAAGATGTCATTGGCAATTTGACACCTATGAAGGGTATTTTTCTACCACATGGTATACCAGCGTAGTGGATTTAAAGACATGGCCCACGTTTCTGGAGACAGTCTTCTCATGTCAAACAAAAGGCATGGCTTTTCCACCTCGTTGTCGACATTTGTTTCGCAGACCGTTTTCTTAGAATGCCCAGTGAATGGCATCTCGTATCTGCGTGGCAGTGGACTCTAGCATCAACGGAATTAAGGTTTCAAGAAGCTATGACTGTTATACAACGATACCATGCCTTCCCGACCTCATTAGTACTCCCGATTTGGACTCTCCTTTAACCCTAATCACGTCGGAGCTACCGAGGCGCTGGGTCGTCGCCTGATATCTGAGTGGAAGCTAAGAGTCATTGCTCTAGATTATCGCACGCATTCTTTGCAGCGGGAGATCTGCTCTCATCTGATGAACTTCCCCAGACACCTTTTTACCTCAAAAAAACTTTAACTTCGTAGGTCTTGGAGTCAAATTCCACAGAAGAATGATTCTTACGTACCTTTTGCGCGTGGCATACAATAGTAATCTTAAAGCTTACATGAATTCATTTAGCCCGTCCCGCAGTCAAATTTGGCAACGAGAGCTCACAGTTTTCTTGACGAGTGCGATACGTATCTGCATGTATGAACATGCTCAGGTCCGCTTGGCGGAGAAAACCCACCTAACTTTCAGCTCGGAAAATCTCCCAAAAAATGGAGTTCCACAAGTCTATTCCCCGTGATGAATTATCATAGCAGTTACCAGTTGATGGGAACCAAAGAAAGTATCTCTCTCTCTCTCATGTAGCATACCAAGATCCAAAGATTATCGTGGCGAGCAGGTGTTACGAAAACAACAATTTGTCTTGCATATTCACATGTTCGTCGTGCTCTCGGAGTTTTAATATTGATATTCGCTTGTTCCTGGTACCTGATCATGGTAAACACATTACCGTTCCTATCTTTCCGGGCGACATGGACCGTGTTATTAGTTCTAGACTATTTCGAGCTAACCTTGCCGAACAAGGTTTTGTATTTGTGAACCTGAGGATTTCATCTCCGGATTTCCTAGTGGCTTGGCCGAATATCATTTTACTATTCTGAGCTTGATCTTGCTAAGTAAGTTTATGTATCTGTAAGCCTAAGATTTCCAATTTCGGACAAATGGTGCTTCCCATGCGAGGCTCTTCCCAAATCGATCACATCGGTACACACTCCCAACTCTAATCACAGTTACCAGTAAAAATTCCGATTCGCAATTAGTAAATCGTCCGAATATTTCGCACGGCCAGAACACCTTGAATCAACCTCAACTGAAATTTGGTGGCTCTCTGTTTTGATTTGTGGGCTCTCTAACAGTTCTATCGATTTTTCCGAGTATCATTTTGGGGTGAGAATTCTCCAAAACCTAGTGCAATAGTATTGACTTTGCACTTGACGATATGTCGAAAGACTAGTGCCACAACAGTCAATGGATTTTCATTCTAGTGAAATGAAAGCAACTATACTTCATGTGGCTTGAAAGATGCAGGACTTTATACTAGATGTACAAGGGATCAGTTCTATGAGTTTCTCAATGCTCCTGATGGGGGTCACCCCCAAGTTTATCTTGCATCTCTGAAGGTCGGCCTCTGGCATCTAAATCTATCTTCAACCCCTCATTTCATTGAATGTGGCGCTTGATCTGCAGCAAGCAGTGCATTCTCCGCTTGATCTTCAAGTCTTGGGTTCAAGTGAAGCCCATCAGACTGATATGGACTCATATCAAAATTTCATTCTCTACGTGATGAAGAAGTATAAGAATCCGCATCTTTTCCACTTCAAATCAGCATCATCTACATCATCAACATCTTCTCAATCATCTTATACTCACAACCAACTTAAAGAAACATTTGTTTAAGAATCAAAATGCGTCCCGTCATCATCGCTTCAGCCTTTGCAGCTTTGGCCTTTGCCAATCCACTTCCTCAAGACATTGATTTGGATGCCATTGATGCTCTCCCACAAGCTGAAGTTTCTTCTGCTCCAGTCGACGTCTCTTCCCAAGTTGTCGCAGTTAAACCAGTTTCTGATGCCGTCCTTGAAGGAGCTGCGGCAGTGAATGATGTTGCTGCTCCAGACGGAGTCACCAGAAAGCGCGATCTTGTCAAACGCGATTGCGAGCAACAACCTCTCGGCTATGGTCCAAATTCTAAGTAAGCTTCCAGCACATAGTAGCCATGAAAATAGACTCCGACTAATAATCTTAAAGACCAGACACCGCCGATGCTTTCTTAGCCGACCCTCAATACAACAAGATTGCCTCCAAAGCTCCTACTCCACAAGGTTACACCCTTGCTTTCTCTGAGCTCAAAGGTTCTACCCATACCACCTCGTATCTTGGTTATAAAACCTTGAAATCCTACGACACTGTCGAGTGTGCTCAATACTGTGATCAACAAGATGGCTGTATTGCCTTCAACATCTATATTGAACGTGATCCCACTGTTGATCCTGGCTACAAGTGCTCCAACCCACCATCCACCATCAACTACAAGTGTGCAAAGTGGGGTGTTCAAATCAAGAAAGAGACTGCTACTAATACTGGCCAATACAGAAGTAAGCTTCTCTTCCTCTCTATTTGAAGGAATCACATCATACAGCATACTAACAATCCCCCAGAGGACTTCCGCGTCGTCATTTCCGGATCCAATGGATACAATAAAAAATATTCCCCAGAACCTTGTGATAAATACAATGGCCCAGTTTCTCTCGGAGGAGCCATGCAGGCACCTCTCGATCCAGTCACCAAGACTGATACCTACATGGGCTACAAATTCTTCTCCTTTGACGATGTCAAAACCTACGAGTACGGAGTCGTCGCCTGCACATCTGCCTGCACAGCGCAATCCAAATACAACCTTGAGCATCCTCCATCCTCTGGCCACCCCGCCGTCTGCAACCAAGTCGTGGTCTACGTATTGAGTCAAAGCAACAAGCCTCAAGGAATCTACTGCTCCATGTATACCGAAGTCTGGGCTCCCAACCACGCAACCAACTATGGCCAATGGAGAGGATCCGAGTACTGGTCCGTGAGCCAGGCATACTCCTATAGCAGAGCAGACTATGATTCCAAGTACCCCAAGGCCATCTGTGATGTTGGAGGATGTCCAGCGGATTCCTACAAGGGCGGTAACTGGGGTGGATGGGGATCCGAGAAGAAATGTAAGTCCAAGAGATCGA